ACACAATTAGTTGAGTAATCGTATGAAAGTTTTGGGAAAACTTGAGCTTCATTAACAAGTAGAAGATTTTGTAAAGGAGCACTCACCTACTACTACTATTGCAACATCCGTGCCGTTACTTTCTATAAAAAGAAAAATATTTATCAATTTTGTCTCGACCACTAACCGCAATTTTTGCTCATTTTGAAACCAATTTGATGCTACCGCTGCCAACTTTTAATTCTAGTTGCCCACATAGCACAGCAGAGGCCACCGCAGTTATATCGGAAGGCAAACATAGCTCAACCACAACGCTTTCACACGAATTAGAAATGTTAGCTTATCTACTCGAAACAGCAAACATTCTCCGTGTGCTCTGAAAGTTGCCGTGAGTGGTATTTATTTCGTATTATCATGGATGTGTGTGTGCTCACGTGCCTCAATGAATGTGTGGAAATAGCAGATGAGAAAAAACCCAAAAACGGTTAGATTTTACTATGGCAAAAGGTAGACGAGTTCATTGTTATGGAAAAAGAATTTCTTAGATTTTACTAAATTCACCTCAACACAAGCAATATTCGATAAAATTCAATTTTCAATCGATAAGCGCAACGCATTATGTAATAGTCTAAAGGGCAAAGACTTCCACAGGTTCGCATGAAATCGTTTCGGAATAGTGACTTAATGTCTCCATTATTATGCCCATTAATTGCTTATTTCAGCAATATGCACTCGAATGCGTCATCAAGCGTCAATCCGTGAGAGTCAAAGTATTTGTCATACGAATATTACTCATACGCCCAGGTGGCTAATTTGCAGTATGGAAATGCCTCAAAGACAGTGTGTGTGCATGTCGCTGGCATGCATAAAGCCATTGCAAGGTGCAAAATGCATGAGCACGTATTTATAGGCACTTTAGTATATTTTGCGACAAATTTGTGTATGAAGGCAATTTGAAGCATATAGAATTGGAAACACATTAAGGTGGCTCTCAACTATCAGCAGAAAATTTTACTTCTTACAGTATTTGATAGTTTTCATTGGAAGCAGACATCTACTTATATAATTTATAACATGGAAGAGAAGGACAACCAATTCCTAGGAAATCAATCTTTTTTCAAAATGAAGAGATATCTCACTTTTCACTTCACTTTTATGTGGTATACACAGACTGCTTTTTGGATTCAATATTTAAGCTAGATATCAATTTCTATGAAATCATAATTATTTAAAATTAGTTTGACATAAAGAAAAAAATGTAAAATGCAATTGGCAAAAAGGAGCACCCTTGTGTACGATTAGGCGAGTATCTGCATTATTTAGAAATAAATTTCACATTTTACAACTCTTTTACGAGAAAATTTTACGGCATTTTTATATGCCTCTTTCCAGTGATGATTTGATCAGTTCTCATTGCCGCCGCCAGCTAAAGGTTGCGGCTATGTAGAGGCGTGAAAGTACAGATGTAAGTATAAATTAACATAGAAATAGTGATAGAGGATATTTCGACGTCAAGCGGTAAGCAATTTTGCAGAGGAATGGCTCAAAAGACATAAATCTCAACAGGTTGCCAAGTATACTTAGAACTACGAAGAACAGAAAAGTTCCTTCACAGGAAGGCAATAAAACCTATTTGTGAATCTTTAAAGAAAGCGCACTGCTACTCATGCAAAGGTCAAAGGGATTCAACCAATTCATTTGTAATTTTGCCTCCAAAATTTGAAAAGTTAAGTATTAAAAAAACTTATATAAAACGAAATTACCTTTTCTCGGAATTATAAATCAGATAAATTACCTCAATACTTTTCAATAACGCAAAGGCGACTAAAACTTGAAGCGTCTTCTAGTTTCTAGGCAATAGCGTCGATTGGTTCTCTTTATATATAAAAATAAGTCCGTATATGTACGTCGCCGAACTAATTATAAACGTAGGCAGTGGCCCATATATTGTTTATATGATGTTTGGTTGAAATCCGATAACGCGTGTGTGTGCGGTGCGTATGTGAAGTGAGTGTGTTTTTTCTACAGGCATTTTTTGTACCGYATACAGCATTTATTAGTATTGAAAACATTTTTTTCGTTTGTGTATTGGAGAGCATTTCACGGAGTGATGCAAATAGCAATTTGTTATCATTTCTCTTTTTTCTTTGGACGTCATTGGTGATTGATCTTATCATAATCGATTTTTGAAAATATTATTTCTTCGCATTTTTTTGTGAGTATTTTGATAAAAATAAATTAATTTTTGTTCTAATCATCGTTTTAATTTGAACTTTTGTTAAAAAAAAAATTTAAAAAAAAAACAATGATTAATGAGATAAAAATCGATTGTTTTGCTAAAAAAGTGTTCTGATTGTTATAAGTGCATCATACGAATGATTTTGGGACATAATCTCAAATTTGATATTTTGTGAAAAAAATTAAAAAATTGAGTGAATTTTTTTTATTTAATGTCCGATCAGTGAGCTACCAATTTCTTGGATTTCTTGACCAATTTTTAATTGAATTTTGTGACACTTTCAGCAGATTTTCGTGTCTTTTCGTCACTTTTTCGTGCTTTTTGAGTGCAGACGATCTCGAACGTTTCATTTTCGCTTCCGAACGGTAAGACAAAAATTATTTCGATTTTTTGGCCAATTTTTAATTGAATTTCGACACATTTTCAGCATAGTTTTAACAATTTTCGTGACTTTTTGGTGCTTTTCGAGTCCAGAATTTGCAGGATTTCATCAATTTATTACTGAAGTTCTTTATTATCTTTAGTTTAGTTTCTTCTAAATATGCCACGAAGAGCAAGAGCTGACATTGGACGTCGATCGCGTAGAGCGCAAAATAGCTCAAACGAAAGAGAAAATCAATCGCAAGAACAAGAGATTGCAAATACAAGGGAACGTGTTGCAAGATCGYGTTCAGATCGTAGGCCGACAAGTATTAATCAAAATGTTCAAAGGCGTGCCGCACAAATCTACGTTAATGTTGCCTTAAATGGTTCTGGTTTTAGATATAATCACGCAATTGATTACAGTTTGCATAATTTTGTGATGATTGGTGGAATGAACAAAGTATGCCAACATTGTAATGCACTGAAATTTCRTAATGAAACACCTGGAATGTGCTATGCCAGTGGCAAAGTAAGATTACCCGAATTACAATACCCACCTTAACCATTGGCAACATTAATTTCAGGAACAACGCCGCAATCGAAACGTTTTTTAGATAATATCCAAATGTATAATTCGTGCTTTAAACTGACTTCCTTCGGAGCGACGAATGTAATACAAAATAATTTCATGCCGACATTTAAGGTAATTTCGGATCTGGGAATTTCGAATGAAGCATACCGCGACATTTCAGAACTTTTCACAAGTTCTAACAATCATATTTTGCCTCACAATTTCAGATACAAGGGCAAATTTATCGAGGCATTAGTTCATTTTTGAGATTTCCAGATGCAAACCACCAGTTCTTGCAAATCTACTTTCTTGGCAATAATGAAAATGAAGTAGATGCCCGTTGTTCAATATTCACAAGTGCCAGAAGAATAATAATACGTGAATTGCAAGCATTGTTTCATGGACATAATGATTTGATTAATACTTTGCAGACAGCAAAGTGCTTCGTGCTGATAGAAGACCAATCGGAGAACATGAACGAAGATTTAATGCGCCTATAAATAATGAAGTTGCTGTGRTGATTGTCGGCGATGAGTTTCAATCACGTGACATTGTATTGCCCAATTTTGTTTTGTCGGGGTGAAGATGGTTATCCTATAAATTAAAAAATGGTAGATCCCGCAAACCCACGTGAGTGTTTGTTGTGTTTAATATACTCATTCAATTTTGTTTAACAAGAATTTCTATGAAATATCTATAATGCTTTAAATTTCCATTTGTTTTTTTTTTCTCTCCAGAACGTGAAGTCAATAAAAATGTCAGCGCTATGAACTATCATGCACATAGAATTATGATACGACAAAATCAGGAAAATCATATTTTGAAATGTCGGAGACTCTTTCATCAATATGTCGTAGACATGTATGCAAAGATAGAAACAGAGCGTTTAAACTTTATGCGATTCAATCAACGGAAGTTGCGATCAGAAGAATATATAAAGTACATCTCCGCGATGCAATCAATAATGATGGAAATGTTGACAATGTTGGACAAGTTGTTATTTTACCAGCAAGTTACACAGGCAGTCCAAGGCACATGCRTGAATATGCACAAGATGCCATTTGCTATGTTCGTTTGTATGGTYGACCAGATTTGTTTATTACATTTACCTGTAATCCACAATGGGACGAAATCAAGCAATATTTATATGAAGGGCAATCTTCYACAGACCGTCACGACATAACTGCACGGGTATTTACACCGAAGCTGAAGTCATTGATGGATTTTATTGATAAACATCAAGTTCTCGGCGAAGCAGGCACCGGGCCCGCTAGTATAATATAAAAGCTTGCTACTAAAGTAACGCCCGAACCCCTATCACCCTTTTCAAGCGCATCAAAACAAATTTAATTTCGAATTTCGGTTTTAGTAAAGCCCAAAGTTAATAAAATATAATCCGCCCAGCAACTTTATATTTTGCGGCACATTCCCAAAAGCATAAGAAGCTGCTGGGCGTGCAATACAAACATAAATTTAGTTGTGAAAGTTAAATGAACCCTGAAAGATGAATTACTTTTCAATAAACTCACAACCACACACACACACATGTGTGCATAAAGGGACCAGGGCATCGATATCTTCATTTTATATTTTAAATAGCCATTTCTGTCAGCGGCGACAGCTGTAAGTGACAATAAGCAGCAAACTGCACACAAACACTCACGCACACACACACACGTATATATATACAACGCTGGAAATATATAATTTATTTGTTTCCAATGTTTCACACAGTGCTGTATAATTCCCCAGAGTCCACTGCTTTACCAGAAAATCATCCACATATTTTCTTAAGCATTGCTACTTTCCCCTTGCGTCCCCCCGTGCTCAAACAAAATGCTCACTCACCATTTAATCCGGTGAAAAGTTTTTTTAAAACTGCAATACTTTCGCAGAGCTGACGTCAATGTCGCAGTGGCAGATGATTTCGTGTGTATTTGTTTCTGTTGTGTTTGTTCTTGTGGAGCAGACAGCTGAGCGACACATTTAGGCGACAAGCACACGTACGCCAACAAAGCGCCGAGGGGCCGACAGAAGCCGGAGTTGAGGAAGAAGGCGAAGCGCACGGAGCGAGTTAATCAAATAATTTATATTTCGATCGTCGTTTTCTAACTATTTATGTAACGGTATTTCGAATACCAATGTTGTATTTTTGCTTTCCGAAACTATTTTCACAACACTATCCACTTTTCGCTTTTCGCTTTTGCGCTTCCTACTTCCATCGATTTATTGCCATCTTCTGCACATTCGTCCCGCTGCTTAAGTGCCCGCGTCTGGATCCACTGCTTAGCGCCGCTGCCGCTGCTCCACGCACTTTCCGCCGCAAAGGACGCTGTCGACTTAGCACAACGCCTTTTGCTTTTGTGGTTGTTGTTGTTGTTGTCTGCCTGCTAGCACTTATCACACACTAGAAGTTGATTTATTTGCAAAACACAAACTCAACACAGTTGCGTCGAAAACGAAATTCTGCTCGCCACTCAACGCGCTTTTTAATGCTTGGCAAATTTTGATTCCATCTTAATTTTGCACTCACATTTTTCACACTTATTTATTTAAATTTTTATTTTATTTTATTTTATTTTTTTTTTGTTTTCTGAAAGACACTTTTTGCTCTTCTCTCGTTGGCTTTGAAAAATTCTTATTTTTCGCAAAACAAATTTTTCAGCAATTTTCACCTTTTACGCTAGTGAAAGGCATAAAAAATGTCTTTAGCACTTCAACAGCTCATTGACGCGTTCGCGTTGCGCGCGGAATCGTGGGAGGCCATTGCTGAAGGCTGTGCGGTTGGTCGCTTTGTGCGAGCGGGCGATTGCAGGTGGCTATGCAGACGAAGTAGCGCTCATGAAGCCCACACGAGCCGCTTGCAATCTTTAGTGAAGATATCTTGACAGATCATTGCCGCAAAAACCTACCAAAAATTTACGGAGTAACAATATTTTTTCCGCTATCTGTAAATCTGCGGATGTTCAGTACGAAAGCTGCTAAGGTGAACTAATTTACTACTTTCAAGTATCAAATTTATATATCCTTGCCCACCAAGAAAGCCAATAATTCCCAGTTTCCTACACTCCTTTCAGTAAAGATTCAAGAAACCTTAATGCAAAGTAATTAAGTGCGGCGCTGGACTAATCTAACATGTCCGTCCCTGACACTGAAGGAATAAAACATATGAAAAAAATATAAGCAAACGAGATCTTCTTATTCTCGAGCATTATTTTACTTAATATTTTAAAATTCTTATAAATCTTAGTTTTTTAATAATAATGTTAATAAACCATTATTTATAAGAGTGCCGTTACTCGCAGAGGAATTTTTTTTACAAAGTTTTTCACTTTGTAATTTTTCTTTTCAAAAAATTTTACTCCAAAAAAATAAATTCTTCACATTTTCCACTTTGAAGCGAGCCACTTCCTTAAAATAGCTTGCAGTGAGTTTTTCTTAACTTTTCGGCTGATTTATATAACAATTTGTCAATTGATTTTGTTTTTTCTCAACTAGTTAAAGACGACTGATTACTTTTGTGAAATCCACCAAAAATATTGTCAACATTTTCTATCAGTTTCCACCACAAATAACGGTTATGTGGAGCAAATGGAAATGCTGGGAAACTCTATTCGATTGAAGATCCGCGCCGTGTTGCTATCTGCGCTACCTCACTTTGGTTATTATTTATTTTATGTATTTGTTTTTGTTTGTTACTGTTGTCGCAGCTCATTCGCGCTGGTCGCGTTCGCTCGTTCGTTCGTTCCAAGTGATCTCAGCAGCGAAATTAGACTGAGCAGTTGAAAAGCATTTTGACAATTTTCGTTGACAACTTTCTCAATTCCCCGCAAAAGCACGCAAACAACCGCACACATACATATATATAGTATTCCGCTGTATATGAATAAGTGCTTATTGAAATTTACACTTCGGGTCGGTTTACTGAGATTATCTGGGCGCGCAGCTGTCGATTTCTTATTTCACCTTTGTCACTTTTTGCTCTCACAACATTTTTGACTGCACCACCTTAGAGTCACCCCCTCCGCGGGTGCTGACGCACACATATGTACGTACATGAAGTAAGCTTCGCCGTCTCATTCGCATGCTTGCTTATGTCTTTATGATTTTCTATGGCTTTTGACTTTACTTTGACGCCTTGATGCTTGTGACGTTGCACTCTGACGTCACATAATTAAGTCAAAGCGTTTTCTAGCGGTTATTTTAGTAATTCTTGTTGGCAGTTTGTTTATTGTAGTATTTTCGCTTTGTTGTTGTTGTTGCTTTTGATGTTACAACCAGCCGAATCGCTCATTAACGACTATGGCAACGTGCGCCTGTTCTATATTTAGCCATCACTCTCTGGGCGCCTTCGCTAAACAAAGCAGCTGTTTTTCGCGAGTTGTTGCGTTTGCCGCATATTTCTTAGCCGCGCACACGAACTCAATCATCCAATTCCCATTATGCATTATTGACTTGGTTTCTCTTGTGTTCTTGTTATTGTTGTGGTTGCAATTCTAATTCTCTTCAACACTTTTCAAGTGCTCTTTCCATCATTATCATTTGCTCATTATCTCTCCCGTTGTTGCTGCCGGCGTCTTCTGCTTTGTTATTGTCTTTTTGTTTTCAGTGTTGCTGTTTGTGCTGTTGTTCTCATGGTTGTCGCTTGCTTCTGGGACTATTTTTAGAATCATAGTCTTAGCTGTGCGTTCGCCTTCGCCTTGGCAGCGATCTTTCTGTCACACGCTCGTACTTTGGGACTATTGGAAAAGTGCACATCGAATCTGAAAAAAACAACAACAAAAGGGTTACAATGGGTAACACTCAAAGAACGCAAAAAATAAAGAACTTGGTATATTGAATCATATGTATTAGTCGTTTATGGTAGTACGACCAAATTAGCTTCGTTTGAGATTTTGCAGAGTAAAGTGAACATCTGATGTGAACTTAAAAAAATGTTTTTTTAATGTTTCTTTCGGTGGGGTATACTTTTAAAAATAACATATTAATATTTCAAAGTCTTCTAAAATGCTTCAGTTAAATCAGCTCCATCAGTTTATCTTTAAACACGATTTTTTCAAAACTAAATTTTTCAATTTTACATACTTGAGGGATTGCTATCAGAATTTTTCGCATGTTTTATATATACTCGTAGTTCTACACACAATGACCAATCTTAATCCAAAATCGAATTTAGGCAGGCCACAAGTGACCATAATTTTAGGCGAAATTAAAATTTTTTTTAAACACCGTCATTTCGTCAATTTTTTGATTGACAATAACTTCTAGCAGGAAATTTGTATTTTAAGGTCATTTAAATTTTATTTGCTACAAAAAAGGTCCGCACGCAAAATCACTATTATTAAAACTTCTCGAGATATTCGGCTTTTTGAGTAAGGCTGTATGGAATTTTCAAAGATTTCTTAAAATTTCCTACAAGTTTGTCACTGACATTTTTTCTGAAGCTCTTGCCAATTGCGAGATAAATACAAAAGGGCTAATTGCATGGAAAAATCAGGTTTTGAGGTTCATACTACCTCGCTGGTGTAAGTTATGACTTTGTCGCACTGGGCACTTTTATAGAGTGTTCAATTCTGAGGAATACGTGTCTAAAATCAATGCGATGCCATAAAATAGCCTCTGAGCTATAGAAATTCAAAGATAAAAATTCCCGATTTTCATGTATTTTCAATGGAAAATCCTTAGTCGAGTACTTAGTATTAATTTTAATTATTAAATTTTCAGTGAATTCCTTTAAGGTATTTCCAAGGAAATTTCATAAGAGATTTAACAAAACAAATTAGTTAAAAACAAACTTACTAATGTACTCTGTACTTGGGGGCTCTAGGAGTTACATAACACAACATGGAGTTATCCACACAAATACTTCGAACTTGAAAAGTCGCCACTCATGTGCTAAACACACTGACCGCGACAGACTGTAAGCGACATCTGTTAAATATTGAAATACACACGTTCTTATTGACACAGTTATTTTGACAACTGCACGACTACACGACTGCAGGCCGACCGACAGTTGCCGCTCTCGCTAACTTCAATATATTTTATATTTGCCAACGAAAGTAGAGTTGACAGTAGAGAGATGAGGTAGAGTGGTGATGCCACTAATATGTAAAATGTGAAATTATTCAAAGCTCTAACAAACCTGRCGTTATTTTACAAATAAAAGCATAAACCAGCTCTATTATATCATTTGTAATAACAATTGATAATTTAAAACAAATAAATTTACCTATTTACTTATTTTTCGCATACAAAATTTCTCTTTGAACAAAATATTAAAGTTTCATTGCAGTGCAAGGTATTGGTATGGCCAAACCGAACATGCAAATGGAGAGCTGTGTTGTCTTGTGTACGTGTCGATCATTGTTATGTTGCTGCCTTCTCACAAATGTTCATGTAGAAGGATTCACAACGCCATTTTCAGTTCACTGTCGTGCTGCCATGTCGTGTCGCGCTCATTGTGTTCAGTTAGCACTCAAAAATCGGACGTGTCATTTGCATATCACTTTACCTAAGCCACCTGAGCATCTGCCAGCAAAACAGAAAACACAATTGAATAAATTGTATAAAGTATGTTGTCGACATTTTGCAGACAACCAAGGCAAGAATTTATCATTACTCATAAATGTACTTCTATATATTCATATGCACTTATATATTTAACGAGTGTGTAGAAAATATGTGCTCATTTATTCATGTTTTCTTTGCCCCTCCCACTGACAGCGAAACAATGAAATGTCATCTGCATAATGCAAAATACTTAAAGCTTAAATAAACCATAAAATTTTAATATACCCAATAGGGAAACCATACCTATTGGGTTGACCATGATATCAGCTGGTACGATCTCTACAGCTAAGAACCCTTAAAATCACACTTACGGATTAAAAACAACACTAAACTAAGCATTATTGAACTAAGAGACCGCTGTTCGGTTGATACACAATTTTAGTAAAGACACAAACCTGGCAGGGATCAGCCGGGTTATCTACCTGAATCTCAAGCGTTTTTAATTTACAGCCGCTCTTTTCGGTTAATTGTTAGCAGAATCGGATACACTAAAAAGTTAGGGCTTTAGTAAGTAATGTGAATTTTAAGCACATATTTTCATTTCTGTCTTTATTCTATTTCGCCTCTCTATATTATAAATTTTTCCGTTCGGGGCGTTATATACATGTGTGCTTAATACTAAGTAAATCTTCTGCTAGAACATTAAGGTTTCCTAAATAATGCAATAAATAGGAATGCATCAGCTTCAATGCCGCAACGGCGAGAATTTGTATCGCCCAGAACATTTTGTAAGAGACCTTAGGTATTTAAATTGAATTTGCCATACAAATCGTTGTGTTAGGAAGAATGTTTTACTGTGAGAAAACAACAGTTCATAAATCCCAAACATTCACTAAATCAGTACTAACTTCATTACCCAGGCAATGCTAGTTGGTCAGACAGTGACGCCTTTTACCCATATTCTGGACCCTGAAATAGAATTGTACCCTTCTGCCACCATTATAATTGTAAATACAAAAACTTTTACACCAAAAGAATTTTTCCAATAAAACTACAAGAACTTATTCCTGATTTATCAGCATTGAGGCGAAGAAGCATGAAAAGAAGAAGAAGCAATTCAGTTAAAGCTACTGTCATTGCACCATAAATCTATGTATGTGCATCTTGTTATTATATTTCTGCATGTTGCATGCCACAAAACGTATTGTAAGAGATATTTCTTAGCAACTTCATGGCTGTTGGCACAGCCACAACAACTATAACAACTGCAATCAACACATTCTACCCTGCTATAATTTTTATTTATATTTTTATTCCTTCCGCATTGCACTTCCTACTCATTCGCCGCCCTGCTCTGGCCTTGTGTCGGCAGGTTTATGGGTGTAGCTACTTCTAGTTACATTATGCTCGTTACTTACCACCAACACCTTCGGCACAGCACCCGCCGGCACCGGCGCACACCGCGCGCTCCATTGGTATTGTTGAAAAATATTATTTTCATTAGTAACACAAGTTGCAACATATTTATTCACAGCATTCCACAGTGTGGCAGCACATAAAAGTCAACACTTATTACGTTACATAGACATAACTAACTTGCAACATGCGACAACATGCGGCAACATCGTGGCGATATGGCTCCACAGTGGCCTTTATGGCCATCAAGTAATGTTGCAAGACACTACCCACCGCAACAACAATGTTGGCTTTAAGTGTCACAATGTGCCACCGCAGCTTTTTAACCTTCGAGCAAATGCGTTTAAGCCATCAATACAAATGGCTTAAGTAACAAAACGGCCGTGCCAGTTGGCAGTATGGCGCTGCAACAGGCCACCTCGAGTATGCTATGTGTGGATAAGGACTTTTCGTTTTCGCATTGAAGAAATGGTGGGTTCTCAGCACTTGGTAAATGAGGTCAGCTTGAACTTGATTTTTGTACTAAATAAAAATAACAAGAGAGACGAAATATAGAACCGATCACTTTTGCTACTTTCGAAACGGACACATCGCACGCCATATTCAAACGACTTCTACACAATAAACTTGCTGAAAGAACAAAGAAACATTTCAACAACAACAATTCCGCATATTTTGAACCCCCGAAATCTTGGATCAGTGCGCCGCATGGCCACTCGTGGCGACTTCTTCTCTGCTCACATACGGTGGGGGGATATGTGCATGGGGAGAGATCGGTGGAAATGAGGCGCAGTAAGTTTTTTTACGGATGGGTCAAAACTAGTAGGGAAGGTTGGTGGGGTAGTTATTTGTAAGCAGTTCTCTGTCAATCTTAGCTTTCGGCTATCGGACCACTGAAGTGTTTTTCAGCCTGAAATGGCTGCTAACAAGGTGGCGGTAGACATACATACTTCTGTGAAGTACAGCTTCTTTTAGAGAGCTAAGCATAGACTTCGACAGCAGATCAGCCAATCTGTGTGCTCATAGCGAGTCGAGAATTGTTTGTCCTCACTAAAAATAGCATCAAGCTACTTCATCACCAGACCCAAATCCCGCAAAGGCAAACGCGAAGGCAAAAGGTGGATCATGCACTGTCTCCTCCATTATACAGTCTTTAAAAGATTGAGGCTGAAACATCTCGACAATTCTTCCTTGGGCGAACCGGAAGACAGAGATGCAACTAATTTTATCAGTCTCAGCAACTTTGTGAGAGGATCAAAGGGTTTTGTTGATTTCTATATATCTTATGATACAGTTTATAGGAGTATTTACGTACCACAACAGACCAGTGTTCTATACTGTTCAAGTGAAATCACTGTTAGGATCGCCCACGTAACCTAAAAAAATTTACCAGAAGCGCCGTCCATCAATAAACGATTTTCGCGGTTCTCTGCCAAACATGTTTACAATTGCTCAAAGAAATTCCATTTTACAAAAACCATTAAGGTATTGTACAAAGAAAACAGCAATTAGCTCCTAATTTGTTATTCCAAACCGACTATTAGTGGATTTATTGGCAAGAAACCCACGACCCGCTATAGCGCACGAATAGTTTTTGCTTCACCGCGTATTTCAGATAAAACACAATTCCGCGTAAACATTTCCTTCGCGGTAAACAACAATAACATGGGAATATTTAAATTCCACCGCAGAGTAATTTGGGTCTGCGGCCACCACTGTTTACATTAACGAAAAGAATTATAGCAATTACAGTTAGGACTTTACGGCTTATTCTGTTTGTTCCACAACTAAAACGAGCGAATTTATATAAATGCAATAAACACATATGAACACA